ATGGTGTCGAGGGGGTGATATTAGAATCCGGGGGTTTTGAATGTGCCCTTTTCATTTGTCCCCCTTTTCTTGGGGGGATGTCGCTAGACGCTAGGCAGTTTTTCGTGTGCCTAGACGTTCAGCACTTATTGGCACATCCCGCTGGGCGTTCGGTGCTAGTTTTTAAAGATCACGTCTGATTGCTACCGCTCCGCAACGCGACGCTTTCTCATGTGAGCATAAGCTTGAACCTAGCCAAGACATCCTAAAGCCTAAGACGAAGCCCAGTCGAATCCTACGCCTATTTAAGAGTTGAAGCCTAGGCCAAAGCCTGATTCAATCCCAGCCCAAGCCGGAAGCCAAGCGCGACAGGACAAGACAAAGCCTAAACCTAGCTACCAAAAAACCAAAGAATTTCTCAGCCAAAAAAGAGAACCCGGGAAAAAAAATAGGGGTTAAAAAGCCCCCCTCCCCACATGACTACTGATTTTCATTAGTGCGCTAGTAGTAGCGTAGCTTAAGGTATTTGTTGCGACTCTTGTCTATGACTCTTCTTCAAAAATTGGCACTTGCATGGCTTTTTTCAGCGTAATCGGCAACTCTTTGTAACAAGCGTCATCGCATGTCACTGTGAGAGACTCCGTTCACATGCAATTTGGCAAATTCGTTAAGCTGCACAGGGGGAAATTGAGAGTGTAAAGATTAAATTCGTGTTCGATTTAGCTACGCCGACCCGAGTAAGATTTCCATTTTGCCCGTACGTTACTCATTTTTTAAATGTTTCTGAATTCTGCGGGTATTTTTGGCTCCAGACTATCCTCGCGTGTGAGCTTTAAAAAACTCTTAGACAATGGGGCTCATTGTCCAAAACTCCATAGCCATGGTCGCTTATCAATCAGAAGCCCGATTCCTTTGTCTCTGAAGTGAGGAAAAGAACACAACATTTTTTTATCAAGAATGTCCCAATCGGGAGCTGCCGTTCCGATTGGTTTTTTGCACTTGGCAACAGCTGGAACGGATCGGTCTCGTTGATTTGGTTCAAGCTGAATGGTGCCTTCAATAAGCCACTTTTTACTTTTATTGCCATTTTAACTTTTTTCAGTACGATTTTGTCAGAATGCGATCTCCGAATCATAAGTTATAAGAGGGCGAGTTTTGTATTATCCAGCATTTTTTGCGTTTTTCCTTTTATTACTCGCTCTTGCTTGTTTCCGCATCCACTTATTATTTCAGAATTTTCACAAGAATGCGATTGATGCAAGTCATCAGAAGATCCCCGGATCTGCCGGGGATGATGCAGTTGAGCACAGGGATGTTGTGCCTCGTGGCCGCTTTCGAAATCCAGGCCCAAGTCGTGGTGAGTTTTAGTACAGGAATTTGCAATCCATTTTTAAATTAAGATCCCCGTTTTGAGAAGTATCGCCGACGAGGGAGGGCATGGGATTACAGATAAATCTGGATATTACGTGTAAGTAAATCTCTTGTGATTGCAGGAGTATCGAGGGGCTAATTAGAATGGGGCAATACGGGCCCTTAGCACGTTAAATATTCGTGTCTTCTGGGTCCCTTTAAGATTAAAAAACCCCCAGACCTTATACTACTACTCTACTTTTGACATTTTGACATTGACAGTCATTTTCAGGAGTACCATCCTCTACCTCACCTACACTTTTATGAATTTCCTAGTACCGCCAGTCATTGCTAAAATTGGCCCAAAGGTGAGGAATATAAAAAATTATGAAGTTATCAAAAGCTCATAAGAATCGATGAATAAGTTGTTAAATTTATATATTTATAAAATCCATAAAATTGCTTCAAATAAAATAAAATGGTCTAAAATCTAAAAAACCAACTAAAAAACGATATTTAGTGGGCAATGGTTGCCGGGATGCTGTGCTACGTTACCTATATGCTGGGCTTTTTGCACGTCGAGGGCTGGCTACTGTACTCGCTATCGGCTCTTTTGGGTCTAGGAGCAGCTTGTAAGTTGAATACCTTAACAGAATCACTAAATATCATGGATGAGAAACATTGAATTAATTAAGAACCAGCCCCAAAATTTTATACATTACAGTACTCTGGACGAGCTGCGGAGTGAACTTGGTGCGAATTTCTGAGGAGAAGAATGTCGCCAGGAACAGTGCAATTCTCTGGACTACCGTGCAATTTTCTCTCATCGTCGGGGCCGCTTTCCTGATTATTGTTTTACGCAGCGAGTACGTTACTTTCCTATATACCCTAAATCGCGGTTCTTTCGTAGGGAGCTTTCCAAAAGCTACCGCGTCATCTACATGGCGTGTGCCGTACTTGGGCTCGTTGGTGCCGGGATTATCGCGTTGATGCCGACGCCGCGTAAGTTGGAGTGAAGCGGACTGGACGAGCACTTTCATAGTCCCTATAAAAGCCTCAAAGGACAACTTGAGTTTCATTCGGGACCAAGTGCACTGTCAATTTTCGCTGATCCGAATAGTTCCAATTTGCTACGGACCGTACTGAGGTATACGGCAATTTGACCCTGGTTTCACCAAAATGGAGGTACGTTCTAGTTTTCATTTCTTATTCAACGTCAAAATGACTAGACGTTGGCTCGAAAAGACCTACAGCTCAAAACAAGCATTTAGATAAAAAAATGAGTTTTATTCAAAAAGCAAAAGAAAGATGCAGGGCGGGGGTCAACCCCGCCCTGCCTTGGCAAGAGTACTTTCCAAGCACCATGGTGCCAACGACAAGGGTGCTGCAGAGGGTATTCAGGGCCCTGGGAACCTAGCCCCAAACATGGAATAGTGGGCCAGCGTCTAATTTTTATTTCGGCTAATTATAAAAAAATATTTAAATAAAGGCCTAGAAATTGGAAAAATCGAACAGCGAAAAATCAAATTTCAAAAAAAAATCAGAATCGCTAGATTCGACACGGATTTTCGACTAGGTCTCGACAACCTTCAAAAGTTTCCGCAGTTTCCGAAACTTTGTCGTTAAAGAGGAACGATTTATAAGCTTTCCCGTCCCTTTAATAGATTCCAATCCCAGAGTTCAATCAATTACGACATTTTTTTAGAACTTCGCCGAGGCTCCTCTTCAAGTGACGGATCAGCCGACTCGAACATATCCGTGCTGAATGCTTTTGGTTGGTTTCTATGGCTATAAAATTGTTGTAAAATCAATATTACTAATTTTAATAATTTTAGAAGACACCTTCCGACTCCTAAAAACCAAGGAAATGATGCTGCTCTGCGTGGTGTTCTTTTTCAACGGTTTCCAAACCGTGTTTTTTGGCGCAATGTACACTGCTTCTCTGGCTGGTTGGTTTCACCCCAAATTTCTCAAAGAATCGCTGCATCTTGCCCCGACCTTATTTTTGCAACGGGCACACTAGCAAGGATCATTTAGGAATTTCAGAAACACCAAAACAGGCTCACGTCATTGAAAGCTATTGTCGACTTTAAAAAATCAAACATTTTTCAGCAACAACCCGCATGGACAGTCACGAAATTGCCATCGCATACGCTATGTTGGCCATTGGAGCTGGAGAATTTTGCGGTAAGAGTTTTGAGAATACGGTAACTAGGTCAGCTTTTTAGCCGGCACATTCTTCGGGATTTCGGGCAACAGTCGTGGATCGCAATTCGGAAGAAAACGGGTGGCCGTTATTGGGACGTGCTTGCTGCTGGTGGCAAACGTTTTGTCCATTATCAATTTGCCGCCGGATGCGCCGCTTCATGAGACGGATAATATTGGCTTCATCGAGCCTAGGTCAGTGTAGAGAGAGAGAGAGAGATGGAAAGGGAGATAGAGAGAGGGGGGAGGGAGGGAGCGAGAGCGAGAGGGAGAAAGCGACAGAGAGAGAGAGAGAGAGAGAGAGAGAGAGAAAGAGTGAGAGAGAGAGAATGGGAGAGAGAGAGAGAGAGAGAGATAAAGATCAATTTTGCTTTTTCAGCCTCTGGATCGCCCTTTTCGTCGCATTCCTCCTCGGACTTGCCGATTGTTGCTGGCAAACACAGACGTATACAATTCTGGGTGGAATGTACAAAGATGAGCAGTCACCGCCGGCTTTTGCCCTCTTCCGGTGCTTCCAGGTTAGCTAAACCGTTGAATTTTTTTCTTTTTGCCATGAAAAATACAAGCAACAACATCCGCTTCTTTCAGGCCCTCTCCACCAGCATCGGCTGCTTCATCGCCCCGCAATTCGAGCTGTACTGGACGTTACTCATGACGTCTGTATTGTCGATCGCAGCATCATGTGCTTTCTGCGCTGTCAATAGAATGGCGTTGGAGCGGTACCACGATGATATTGAGAAATCGGAGTTTTCCTCAATCGAAAGCCAAAGCCCACCGCCTTCTCCAACCGAGGAGAAGATCACCTCTAATTTTATCTAGAAAATATAATTATCAAGTTTATTTATTGCTTTTCCCTTGTCTTTTTGGCCCCAGCTATCCCGACACAGCCGACTTCCCAGCCGACTTCTCACTTTTGTATCTCGGTTTCCCAGTATCGTGGAGGGGTGTAAAGTATACCAAAACGTTCGTCTTGGATTGGTGATTATTTTCGTATACCTCACAGGCTTGTAGAATCCGGTAGCCAAGCTACATTAGGTTCGAATTGGCCGGGGTCAGAGATCTGAAGTCTCACCCATTTTTTCTTTTAACCCATAAACTTTATTATACGAGCTTGTCTTATAATTATTTTTCTCTCATTAGCGAATTATGGTAGCATTTTATGCATGGTAGAATTTATGATTGTGGGTCCTACTGTTTTTCGTATTTTTCTTTGTTTTAGTCACTGTGAGAAAGCAATAGCTTTACGGCTTGAATTTCCCCTCTCTTTCCCCAACTTTCCTCTCATGATCTCACCATATGAAATGGAATTTACTGGATTTGCGCTGAATTTTCGTGGTATTTCCACTGGTATCGAAAACGGTAGTATTTCATGACGTTGTTCAGCTGTCTGGTATTTTGTAGTTTTTATAATTGTTAATAAAATATATTGATTTGGCAATTTTTGTTTAAAAACCTAGTGCAATTTAATTCCAAAACGACAAAAATATAATAAATCCGATGAGGTTGATGAGCTGGAAGATGACATGAAAGGTGAAGTGTCGGGTGAAGATGTGTTCGTTGATGTAGAGCTTGAATAAGGACCTAAAAAGGTCCGAATGTGGCAAATCCAGACAGGACAACTTTTTTAGACTAATTGAACCTGATTCCAACGGAACCGGGAATCGCGAAATGGCCTTTTTTTTCTTCCATAGGTCTTTACAGATAGGCAAAGCGAAAAAAACTGTGTGAAAATTCGTTTTTACCGGCTTGAAGGGAATGGATTTTAAGCAAAGGCACCACGCGAGTAGTACTGTCCTTATATTAGGTGTAACTCGTAGCTCTCGGTTTGAGCCATATTTGGACTCCTTATACACCCTTTAAGACGGCATGAACTCACCTAGAATCCATAGATTTCTGCTTCTCTATCGACCTCTGAACGTCTAGGTTCGATTTTCGGTGGTAGTTGTCGAGCGGGAAAACGACGACCAGCACGCATGATAAGGACGTTATTCCGACGCAAAGCACTACGTAGATACCTAAAAAATCTCAGAATTCTCATAGAATTTTCATACATACCTAACAAAGGGAAAGCAACCGTTTTCGGGATGGCTTCTGCTAGCATTTGCAGAAGTACGGTCATCGAGACGAGGCTGGTCAGGCCGATGCCAAGCTGGAAAGTATTTCTCTGGTTGAACAAACCTGCTTTCACCAAAGAAGCCGCGGGGGAGGTACCTAAGCTCAGCCTTAGCTGAACCAAAGCTAAGCTCGAGAAAAGCCTACCTTGGTCAACTGTTCCGCCTTGTAGTTTGGAGTCCAAAACATTCCAACCGCAGAGAGCATCGTGAGAATAAAGCAAGGAATCGCGATGACGTAGACGTAGAAATTCGGCACTCTTCGGAGCCTTAGTTGGTAGTTCATCTAAAGAAGAATATTTTCCTAGAATTACTTACTTTATTATTACTTTACCAGCGGGGGCGGAGCCGCTTCGCGACTCTCCCCCGCTGGACCCCGTCTAGGCCCTATGAATCGAGCGCCCTTCCACATAAAGTTACCCTGAAGAAACGCATCTCCCATGCAAACCTTTTTGTATTGACATGCGGCGCAAGCTTAAATCGCTAGTGTCGTTATTAGGCCTGCTGCGGATGCTTGATCGGCCGGGTCTTCATCCAGCGGCGCCAGCGGGGCGGTTTGCTTCGAGATAAAGCCTGCGACGTAAGTTTGAGCGGTTATCTCCTTCTTTAGCCTGCGGCGCTGGCTCAATGGTTGGCGTTATTCGTTAGCCTGCGGCGCTAGCGAGCGGCTAGCTTCCTTCTAAAGCCTGCGGCGCTAGCTTGAGCGGCTAGCTTCGTTCTAAAGCCTGCGGCGCTAGCGAGCGGCAAGCTTCCTTAAAGCCTGCGGCGCTAGCGAGCGGCTAGCTTCGTTCCTAAGCCTGCGGCGCTAGCGAGCGGCTAGCTTCCTTCTAAAACCTGCGGCGCTAGCTGAGCGGCTAGCTTCGTTCTAAAGCCTGCGGCGCTAGCGAGCGGCTAGCTTCGTTCTAAAGCCTGCGGCGCTAGCTTGAGCGGCTAGCTTCCTTCTAAAGCCTGCGGCGCTAAGCTGAGCGGCTAGCTTCGTTCTAAAGCCTGCGGCGCTAGCTGAGCGGCTAGCTTCCTTCAAAGCCTGCGGCGCTAGCTTGAGCGGCTAGCTTCCTTCTAAAGCCTGCGGCGCTAAGCGAGCGGCTGGCTTCGTTCTAAAGCCTGCGGCGCTAGCGAGCGGCTAGCTTCCTTCTAAAGCCTGCGGCGCTAGCGAGCGGCTAGCTTCCTCAAAGCCTGCGGCGCTAGCGAGCGGCTAGCTTCGTTCTAAAGCCTGCGGCGCTAGCTGAGCGGCTAGCTTCATTCTAAAGCCTGCGGCGCTGCTTGAGCGGCTTGCTTTGTTCTAAAGCCTGCGGCGCTAGCTTGAGCGGCTAGCTTCGTTCTAAGGCCTACGGCGCCAGCTTGAGCGGCTTGCTTCGTTCTAAAGCCTGCGGCGCTAGCGAGCAGCTGGCTTTGTTCTAAAGCCTGCGGCGCTAGCGAGCGGCTAGCTTCGTTCTAAGGCCTACGGCGCCAGCTTGGGCGGCTAGCTTCATTCTAAAGCCTGCGGCGCTAGCTTGAGCGGCTAGCTTCCTTCAAAGCCTGCGGCGCTAGCGGCGGCTTGCTTTGTTCTAAAGCCTGCGGCGCTAGCGAGCGGCTAGCTTCGTTCTAAGGCCTACGGCGCCAGCAGAGCAGCTTGCTTCGTTCTAAAGCCTGCGGCGCTAGCCGAGCGGCTGGCTTTGTTCCACAAGCCTGCGGCGCTAGCCGAGCGGCTAGCTTCGTTCTAAGGCCTACGGCGCCAGCGGCGGCTTGCTTCGTTCTAAAGCCTACGGCGCTAGCTTGAGCGGCTGGCTTTGTTCCAAAGCCTGCGGCGCTGGCGGGCGGCTAGCTTCGTTCTAAGGCCTACGGCGCCAGCTTGAGCGGCTTGCTTCGTTCTAAAGCCTGTGGCGCTAGTTTCAGGGGCCGGCCTGAACCTTTATCCTGCGGCGCTAGTTTCGGCGGCTGGCGTGATTCCTTGGCCTGCGGCGCGTGGCGGGCGGGTAGCTTCATTCTATAGGCGAGTGACTAATTTCATAATAACGTCCCGACGGAAATCTACTCCGAAACGCACTTTCCGAGCAAAAGCAAAACAACAAGATATCCGAGGATCGAACCACCGATGGTTAAATTAGCAAGGTGAAGCGCTAACCACTGCACCATGCAATGCTTGGCAACACGCGTCAACACCCCTTTTATGCCTCAAGAGGACTGCCCGGGGCAGGGAAGGAAAGGCATCAAGAGGCAGCTCAAAGAGACGACCACACGGGCGCGTGCAACTTGCAGAATGAGCAAATTCCTATTTTTTCACATTATGCAAATTAGGCCTCCCGGACCCCCAAAAATGAATAAAACCGGCTTTAACTTTGTAAACTTGTATTTTCTCGGGATTCTGAAAACGCCATCGGAAAGAGGAGGGTCGATTCCCCCTAGTGACGAAGAATTGGGGCATTTTGGACACGGGAAGGGCCTCAAATCGGGCCTCGAAAGTGTCGGCCGGACACACACACAGACAAAGATACGCGACCAAATTATATAAGGTAGGATTACTGTACCTTCGCAATCCCATCCTCCCCTTGGCCGTACGACGTATAGATTGTAGTTAGGTCTATCAAGTGCCACTCGCCATTGCCCTAGAAATTATTAGATTACATTATTTTGGTTTTTAAAGGGGCTGGAAAGGCATGGATTACCTGATTTTGAATTTGTATATCACTCATCGAACCAGTAAGATTGAGGAATTTTCTAAAGCAAAATTCACCCAAGTTAAGCTCAACTTACGCCTCATAGGCCCAGGTTAAAAATGGGATCGTGCAGATCTGGGTGTCGAAGGGGAATTTTGATACCTAAACGCTCGATTCACCCTTAAAAAATCCTTCTCTAAATCACGCTAAAGAGCCAACAAAATAAAAATCAAGGCGTGAAAAAAGCCTAAAATTACCTGCATTCTGCATATATTCTCCGTGAAATATTGCGTGGGCCATTTGACGCGCCCGGTATTTAGGACCTGGAGGGCTCGAATTTCGTCCGGGCGCGTGATGGAGGCGCCGGTGCTGAAAGGTCAACCTTTAGAAAAGCGGATTTAGACTGCAAAGCATAGCCGGACACATTTAAAAGACTTACGCAGTGCCAACATTTGTATCCGGTAGCCATAGCAAACTCTCGCTGAGGTATATTTGCTTAATGCCACCGTAATCTTCCGGATTCCAGGCGAGTCGGGGGTCTCGCCATTTCTAAAAATGGAGAAAAATGAAAGGCTATAAGGGTTAAAGGACTGGCAAGGCATTTTTTGTGATCTGTTAGCTATGCATTCCTATGGATTTTTACACGTCCGCGACACGCAAGGCGAGCCTGTGGCGTGGTGACGAGCGAGCGCGTTGCGTGTCGCGACGCTCACAGGTTCAAGACGAAACGGAAATCCTTAACAACCCATTAGAATACGATAAAAATCCAAGGATTCATTTCTCACCATTTTTATCTGGTAAATCGTCGACAGCACCTGCGTCTGGGCTTCCTAAACGGAGCAAAATTAAGAATTATCAATCTTAGATTTTAATAATGACCATTAAATCAATAAGGAGTAATAATATTTAGTATTTTTCGCTATAAAAAACCTACCAATCCAACAATCTGAATGTAGAACAACTTTATTTGAATGTTGAGCGGCGGGGTATCAGATTCTGAAGCGAAAAGATAGGTATTAAGGTATCGGAAAGGTGTCAGAGGGTGGCTTAAGCCTCACCAGATATATTATCCGGCATTAACCCATAAACCGGCGACATCAATTTGTTATAGCTTCGATTTGTGAAGATTTCTTGGTATAATCGAGCATAGTCGTTCATGTAATTCGAGTAGGACTCTGAAAAAACTTCTAGCCTTTTATTTTGAGGCTATTTTAGCGAATTTTCTGATTTTTGCTACTGGAAATTCAATTTCAATAACCTACGACTATCCCCATATTTTGTGTAGTCCATTTGAGCATCGTAACTGTGAAAATTGAGCAAAACCAAGAAAATCCGGAGAATCATTGAGATCGAATAGTTTTTTAGAAGTCACTCTAGTGTGTCCCAAACCCGGAACTAGCTATTTATTGGGTAGTAAAACAGGTGAAACTCGATCAGGCGCCGCCGAACCAGGTGCGCGGCCAGGACAGCCGATGAAAATTTGGCCCGACAAACACCTTTTCCGGTCGACGGGGAGGGCCCAATTCAACCCAAGTGGGTACATTCAAGAGAAAGGTCAGTCTGGGACTGGGATTTTGGAAGAATGAAGAAATGGGAGGGTGGAAGACTTGAGGCCAGAGATCGTGTCTACAGCTTGTATATTCGATATTTTCCAATTACGGCCGCCTCTGTCTCTGTCAACAATCGCTGATCTGGCTATCATCAGGAATCGATGACAAAAACATCTCCAGCCATTTCTTGTATGTTCTTTTAAATGGAACGGTAAGCGACTGGGTTTTGTTCCCGATAGCACGTAACGTAGCCTGGCGTGACGTAGCCGAAATCGAGGCGCATTGCGTATTGCGTGGCGGCTCAGTCATTCAATCAATCTATATTTCGAACCTACAACCATTCCTTGGGCTTCCCTTTAATTTACGCAAGCGGGGTTCTGGAAAAACGGCTCCTAGAATCTTCACTTAATGGAACCCAAAAAACCCAAGCTACAGGTTTCCAAAGTCCTAATAAAGAATTTTAGAAATCAGCTACAGCTTCTCCTAAGAATTGATGCCTGATTGTCCTGATTTATTTCTCGATTTTAATTTATATTTATGAATTTATCCTGATTTAGCTAATGTCCGTGGAGGTCCTGGTAGTTTCAAAGTTGCATAGTGTTTATTTTATAGACTTTATTTTCCCTTTTTTCTGCATACTTATTTAACTAGCAAAATCGTACTATCGATGTGGTGTTTTACGTCTAACGCTTTATGCGACCATTTCCTTCGACCCCCAATTCTTCGCGAAAATTTCTTTTTTTCCATCGTCCTGCCATTTGCCCTTTTTGCCGCTTCGAAATTGGAAATTCCGTCCGAATGTTTTGGGGAAGATGCGACGATGACATTAGCGCCTTTTCTGATTCCAGACAACACAGCGCGGCTGAAGGTTGATTATTTCATCATCGATGACTGGGAAGGCTTCCGGAAAAACTCAACATTTCTGTCAAATTTCGTATAGTTGAATCAATTATGAATTCACCACGGTGTAGTGTGGGTAGCTCGAAACGGGCAGACGGGGGGGGGAAGTGCAATCTTTATTTTTAAGTCCTTTCTAATTAGTTTTTTGTTACTATTACTAACATGTAGAGGTTGTCAGGACACAAGCTCCAAACCGGCTAAAAATTGGTGGAAAAATCAAATAAAATACGGGGAACACGATGCGATAAAAATTATCTGCTAATGGGCACTTTTGTTTAATAAACTTCTAATTTTAAGTAAGAAAAATGAAGGTAAAATGGACTTTCAGCGGATTAATCGGGCTGCCCGCCTCGGAATAAATGTTTCGATCGAATTGCCACGGAAAGTACGACACTAGGTACCTTCCCACACCCGGAAAAAAATTATTTGAAAAAATTTTTCCACGAAAATTTTGAGGACCTATCGCATAGCTTTGGCCGCCAGGTGGGTTAGCAGCTGCTTAAAATAGTTAGTTCTGACCCCAGGTGTTTAAAATCAGAGCCCATAGATTCCAGATTCCGATAATGACTGCTTCTTTACAATACCTGTACAAAAAGTAATCTCTATTAACTATCCTGTCGATTTTCATGGAGTCGGAATAGGTAGGTAGGCCCTTTTTTGCAAAAACTTCCAAAATTTTGTAATTTATTTTTTTGTCGAGACGGGCGCTACTGATTAATAGGACCGAAAAACATTATAAAAACTATTCTAGACGCGCTCCCTACAAAATAAAAGCAAAAACGGCAAAAAGCAAAAAAAAAAAATAAAAATGCGGGAACCGAACCGACGACCTTTGGCCTGCTATTCCCCGCACCCTACCCCGACACCAGCGGGGCGACAGGCAAGGCCCCTTGGGAAGGCTTCAAGAGCTCGCGCCTGCCCGCCCCGGTTCTGGCCAGGCTCGCTGCGATTCTAGGTGGGCTTTCCATACAAAATCTTAAAATTAAAAGTTTATTAAACAAAAGTGCTCATTGGCAGATAATTTTTATAGCATCGTGTTCCCCGTATTCTATTTGATTTTTCCACCAATTTTCAGCCGATTTGGAACCTGTGACCTGACAACCTCTACATGTAAGCTACAAGTTTTACAAATTCTAGCAGAAAGATACCGAAAAAAATTAGATTTTTTCCAAAACTCTCCAATGTTTTACTCTTTAAGGTTTTTGAGATAATTTTTCGCTCAAAATCTAGTTAAATTGTATTAAAAACCCGATATATCCTGTAAATTATTATGTTACTTGGAACTTCTGGAATCATTAATAAAGACCCGGTTCTTCACTGATCCCCCCCGGTAAAGAGAAAGCTCCAGAATCTATAAAAATATATTGTCGAACGAAATGCTCGATACACTGTCAAGCAGCCCGTATCGCCCCTCATTTATTGCCAAAAACAACACATGACAGAAACAAAGATATTGGTACAGAAAAATTTTTTGATATGGCGAGGGAGAGAATCGAATCGAGGCGATGATGAGGAGCAGCTAGTGGAGGAAGCGGTTGATGATGTGGTGGACGTGGAGGGCCCAGTACTGCCAGTCGAAGATGCTCATTTTGGCCTGTTGCTTGCGGATAATCTCCTCGGCAATGCTGCGCACGCTGCGCATCTTCGGCTGGCCGGTCGCGGTCGGGCGCTTGCAGCGCTCCTTTTCCTGAAAAAATGAGTGTGATCTAGGGTGAAGTCTAGCTAGAAAATTTGGGAGGCTGCTAGCAAAATGCTAAAAAATGATGACCGACCAATTGGACGACATTTCGCTCATTGTTCTGATGTCCAGATGCCGACTTGGTAGTCGAGGTATTCGTAGTAGAATTGGTCTCGCCGGCAATGGTCGAATTGACAATGGCATTGGTAGACGTTTCAAGGCCGGATGGCGTGGCGGCTGTTGTGGTGGGTGGCTCGGTGGTGGACGACTCGGTTGTGCTCGGAGCGGGAGTAGTAGTCGTGGTTGTGGTGTTCGTCGTCGACGAGGGTGAAGTCGGCTCCTCTGAAAGCAGCTGCTGTTTCTGGGATTTATATGCTCAAAAATTTGCTCCAAAACGAAAACACCGCCTTCTTCCTCCTTTTCAATCCCAGTAAAATCTACCCGTTGTCGGAGGGGCCGTGGAAGGAGGTTGAGTGCTGCTTGGGGGAGCTAGAATTTTGTAATGAGGCTTTCAAATGTATTTCACCTGGAGACATGGAAGGAGGCGCGTTGGTGCTGAAGTTACCTAACAAATATAAGTGCATCGATGGGGAAAGCAAAGGAAGCAAACCTCTTGGTTCTTTAGTAGGCATTGTGTGGATTGCATGTGCAACGCTCCCCGCGGCAATAAGCAGTAGATAAGGGAGAAGGTTCATGATCCAATGGGAAACCGGATCAAGCGCTGTCGGGGCACACGGATTTCGAGAATCGTTGACTACCTGACCATTTCCTTCCCAAACAGTTACCCTATGCTAATTAGTTGCTTGCTAATTGGATTTTGTAAACGCTCCATCGGATCCGCTCGCTAGCGCGTGGGATGCGCATTTATCTTTTTGTCGGCGTCTTTTCGCCCCGAGAACATATGTGTATTGTCGGCAAATGCATTGAGAAATTCGTTGGCCGGGATTTCAATTCATAATGTCTGGCCGGCGCTGCAAATGTTATTGGGAATAAAATTGTTTCCAATCAGAACCCGCCCCGTGCTCGCGACTGCTTGCCCTAGTTCCATAGCCCATAAAATCGACGATGCTCCCAATAAGTTATTCGCTTTTCCTATCACTTCTCCACATTCCTGCGTCAAATTCCGACATACATATCTACGAATCCGTGTACTCCTACGGGGCTTGGAGCAGATTGGAAACAGAAGGCTTTTTTGCGCGATGCGTGGGTTCGAAAATTTAGCACACGTAACTATTAGGTTGGACCGAAAGTCCCTAAAATCGACTTCGGAAATTTCTTTCTAAACATTTTGTCGAACGCTACGGTTGTTTTTTCATATACTACTACCAGGGTTGAAAAGCCGCTTCGCGACTTTTCAACCCTGGCCCCGTCTAACCCTATGATGTTCTTCGTTTTGCATAATTGTGCCCCAATTCCGATGACAAAAAATGAAAAAACGCCCACTTCGGGCCTTTATATAGGCTACTGCAACTTCCGGAGTATGCTAATTTTATCCTAACAATGGCCGAATTTTTACGAAAAACTTCAATTTAATGTCGAAAACAACATATTTTACAAAATAGATATGTGTGCAGTCATCTCCAGCCCATTACGCATCTAATGACGTATCAAACACCTCCTCAAACCCATCCCTTATCGAGATAACCTCCGGACACCCTGACGGAAGTTGCATGCAAAGTGGCACACACACACACAAACACTATTTTTTTATATATAGTAGGATATCCTACTATCCTACTATATCTAAAAAATAGCGTCTATGTTTCACCCCGTCACCCCTGCCAGCGCTGACCCTTCCGTAGGGATCGGATCTGCGGGGATTCCGTGGAGTAGCGGAAAAGCACTTACTGTAACCCTTTTATGGTCGAAGTGGAAATTTGTTTCGTGAGATAGCACATCTTGTACAGAATTTTTCGCTGATTCCGAATCTGTTTTCAAAAGTTGCGGAACCCCTCAGATTAAAAAGTTACAAACGTTTTTATACCCGTCTACCTTTCTTCCCCCCCAGCGGAATGTTTTGGCATAACTTTTTTTTACATTATTGTATCATATGAAAATTTTTTTTTTTCGTTGAGGGGGAAAAAAAAAAAGGAATCGACAATTGAGATCCTTCGTGTGGGGGGTGTAAACTTTACTAATACCCAAATTGCCAAAAATCGCTTACTTTAAAGTGTTCTAAAAATTTCGTAAAATACTTTTGGGGGGAAAGTGAGGCGTTTTTCGGGGTAGAAAAACGTGCTCTTTCGAATGGGCTACCTCACGAACCCGTAGCTCGAAATTTGCAAAAAAGTTTTTTCGCTGGGCCCATGCCAAAGATGGCCGATTTTCGAAATTTTTGAAATTTCGAGCCACGAGTTCGTGAGGTAGCCCATTCGAAAGAGCACGTTTTTTTACCCCGCAGAACGCCTTACTTTCCCTGCAAAAGTATTTTACGAAATTTTTAGAACACTTTAAAGTAAGCGATTTTTGGCATTTTGGGTATTAAAAACGTTCGTAACTTTTTAATCTGAGGGGTTCCGCAACTTTTGAAAACGGATTCGGAATCAGCGAAAAATTCTGTACAAGATGTGCTATCTCACGAAACAAATTTCCACTTCGACCATAAGAGGGTTACAGTTAGAGTTCTGATTCCTATCGGGTTGTTTACAAAACACAAAATTTGGCGGTCTGACGGCTAGTCGACATCGTGCTATAACCGCAGAAGTCCAGGAACCCTGTATTTTCTTGTTTGTTGCTTAAACACTACAGCCAAATTTTAGTAAAACATTTTCCTAAGACAAAAAATAGTAAAACATCGAAATGGTTGGACGACCCTTCGAAGCAAAGCGGACAATAACTTTCCAGCTGCTCGGCGTGGGGCTGGCTTCAATAAGCAAGGTCGAGGGATGTGCTGAGACGATTCGCGATCATTGCTGGCTGGATCGCATCGATCAGATAGCTTAGTCGGTGTTTTAACTTGGTTGGAACGGTTGGAGTGGAAAGGGAAAATGCCTCCGCAATACCTAACTTACAGCATGTCCGAAAAGACGCCGACATCGTCGTGGACCGTTCATATGGGCGTATGTTCAATCATTTTATACATAACTTGTCCGGAATCCAGGTTAGTGCGACCCGTGACGTCGACACGCAAGCAATTATTTTTTATTTTTCTGGTCCGGACCCGAGGAGCGATGAACAGACACTTGTGGATCTCGATCGCCAGGTGCTCCGCAACATCGTATTTTGCTGCCCTTTTGCCTAAGCTAAATGAGTTTTTTTCATCGAACACGATGAGGCCCGTAGCGGAATCGAAATTTCGGGGGGCAAAATTTTGGTGACCTCCTCCCCCGGTCGCCACTTTCAAAAAAACCGAAAATCGCGTCAATAATAGCGCCGCAGGCAAAAAAAATTCGTGTGAAAACACGCCAGAAAACACGCCGCAGGCGAAAATTTTTTATGAACAATTTTGAAAAAGTAGGCTTCATATAAGTAAAAAATGTTTGAAAAACAGTAATAAACAGCGCCGCAGGCAGAAAAATTTTTGTAACTAAAAATCATAATGGTTCCCCCTTATGAATTTTTCGGACCTCGACCGATTTCGAGGGGGCAGGGCCCCTGCCCCCTCCTACGGGCCTGAACACGAGTATGTTTTCGTATGGCAGATGGGGTTATGTAACTACAACAAGGTCTAATGCCAAGGCGAAAATACCAAGTATGGATCGTAGTTCAACGGACAGCGAATTGCACCTTTCTTCCTAGGCGCGTCACAGCGGATACACCCTTAATTAAAAATACAACGAAGGCTTGGGCAGTGCAACCCTGAAAATCTCGGCGTCTCTAGTTATGTGGCCTGTCGGGTGGCTGGGGCACGGTGGCAAGGGCACGACGTTAGGGCGCAGGTTGTCAGCGAGCGAAGGGGACCCCCCGTGGGGGCCCGAAAATAAGCTGCGGGATTGCGGTAAAAAGCCGATTTCAAGCAGGGCCGACCTTATTGGCGAAAATGCATTGGTAGAAATGTAGAAGAACTCACATTGTCTTTTGACTTTCTCTTTCTCGTCTTTTGAGCACACATTCAGAAATCTCAATGGATTTTTTCGGGTTTATGGGGTCGGAACTTTTCGTGATGAATACTTGAGTATTTAACGCAAGTTCAGGTTTATTTTCGGCATAAAAGATGTTTAATAGGGGATTTTTTTGTGTAGATTTTATGAGACTTGTTTTTCCATCCGAGCTCATATTTTCGTGGTAAAATCCATACTTGTCTATTGCCTATAGAACTAAGGCCGGTAGCGAAGCAAATAATAGACAAAAGTTTCGCGAAACCGCCAAATGCGATTTTAAACCATAAATTTTTTGATTTAGCTCCGAATTTTAACTGTTAGCATGCATTCTGGCCAGCGTCGCATGCGACTGACTTAGCTGTATCCTATTGCGCGCCCTTCCGTCTTTTTACCGTAACCCAGACCAGAAGTAATTTCAGCGCCTAACCCCTTCCTTGGATTGCTGTTTCCGCTGTGGCCTGTGGCACATCGGCAGGCATTTGTGCAAAAGTCCCAACATATGTTCCAGGAGTGGGCCGAATTCTTACCGCATTGTGGAAAAGCTCCACGCGTCGGGCAACAATTCTTCGAGGCTTGGAACGTCACCAAGGAAATTGTCAGGTAAATACAATTTAAAATTAAAGGCATTTCACAAGATATTATCTCTTGGCTCGGGAGTTTAACAATGAGCCTTTAGCGACACGCTGGCCAAACTAATCGTGACACACAGGGATCACCACTTGGTGGTAGGTAATTATTGTCGCATCGCTTCTTATCGTGCCAATGCCGAACAGAGACGGTTTGCTGAAATTGTCATTTTAAGTTTCTTGGACACTCGTCGGGTGGCTGTTTGGCTCAAATGTTCAAGCTTTGGGCACATCGCGCCGGGCTGTGGCCGGTTAACCACATTTTGGCAATCGGATACGGCCAGCCACGTTGTGGTAACAAGGCAGGTCATTTAATGCTGAGCAAGTTATCAAAAAAGTTTTTGGGTTTTTGCCGATGCTCTGGCGCAAACGGTTGGTATGGTTGGCCGGATTTATCGGCTGCACGATAAATTTATGGTGAGCAGGTTGTTTCTAGGACCACGAGCTAGAGACATATTGCCCATTCCTCAGAAATCATGGCATCTAAGACCTCCAAACTAGGATTGTAGATTTTTGCTTATACCCAGACAGTCTGCCTAATACATTTACATTTACAGGATCATCCGCCGCTGGCCGATCCCGTGGAAAATCCCATTGGATACTATCATGCCGGAGTATGTACGGGGTGTTCCAAAAAATTCAGGCGAATTATGCAACGGGTAGAATTTCATGGGCTTATACGGGCCAGGGTTGAAAAGTCGCGAAGCGGCTTTTCAACCTTGGTCATCCTACTATATAAAAAAAATAGTGTCTGTGTGTGTCTGCCACTTTGCATGCAACTTCCGTCAGCGTGCCCAGGAGGATATCTCAAGAGGGGAACGGTTTTAGGGTGTGGGGAATGATACGTCATCAGGTGCGTAATGGCTCTGGGATGACTGCACGCATATCAGATTTTGCAAATTATGCTATTTTCGACATTAAATTTCGATTTTTGTAAAATTTTCGGACACCCTCTTTGTTAGGAAA